CATTTTGATGGTGTATTAGTTTTTAATTTAAAAATGCGAAAAAAGTCTCTTAAAAATAAAGATGAAATGTACAATAACATGAATTTTAGTTGGACAAAATAATATATAAAATATTTATAAAATGAAACAAGTTGGATTGGCATAGATTTCTTTTAATGAGAAAAATGGTAATTTTTAGCACTTACAATATTTCTAGTATATATAATATACTTATTCCCATAATTTCATTTCGCACCCCCTAACATAAAATCCTAGCTCTGCCATTGCTTTTTACTTATAAATTAATGTAAATTAAGTAGAATTAGATTACTTTTATATTTATTTTATACTTCAGGGTGATCAAAGGGCCAAATTGAAGTTTGATGGAAATATCATGCCAAAAAGGTGAAAAAAAGAACAAGAAAAAGGACCCTATTGGAAGCTGTTGAAAATGAGGATGTGAAGATTCATTTAAAGAAGGAAAGAAGCAGGAGTCTATGATGATGGAAGGAGGCTACTGCACTACTACCACTGCGGCTATCTCTGGCAAATTGGAAGCGAAAATAGATGAAGAAAATGGGGATGAATTGAAGCTGTTAAGGGCTGCTGATGATGATGATGATGTTGCTGCCGCCGTTGGCTGATCTGGTTTGAAGCACGAAAAGAAGGAGGCTGAATCAGAGAGAGGCACCGGAGAAGAAGACTAAGAAGAAGGGTAATGATGAGAAGAAATAGAGTTTTTACGGCTGATAACGTGTAGCCAAAAAGAAGGAAACAAGACAAGTGGGCTAGTTGCCAAGTTGATGAAGAACAACCTCCACAGCAAGTTGCTCTACTTGCTAAAAAAAGGAAGACTAGAAGTAATAACAAAGAACCACCCTCCAACCCGTATGAATAGATGCAATCAGCTGCGGATGGAAAAGAACAACATATCTGGGGAGGATAGAACATATTAGAAACTAAAAGAAGTTAGAGTTAGTTAAGAACATAAAAATAAAGTGTTGCTGTAAAAAATGGATAATGTCACTTCGGGAAGTGACGAGTTCACTAACCCAAGTCATCCGACAGAACCACTACTACATTGTCTTTCCGTCATTCTGTTGACTGTCTTTAGCTCCGTAACCATGATGAATATTTTGTGTTTTGCTGCTCCCATATTTGAATCCATAAGCATGAGTAGCTAAAATCTTAGTAGGGTCTATTCCCTACTCTCTATATATGAAATGTTTTGGTAAAGTTCTTCTATGAATCATTGTTTCAGTTTAATTGTTTTAATCGACCTTTTAGTTAAACTTTTCACTTAATTAGCTAATTGTGCATGCATATTATGGAATTCTGAAAGGGTAAAGCATAATTTAGAATAGCTTAAACTGGTCTATGACAACGGGGATAACAACCATTCGCTTCTATTGACAAGGAAACTTAGTCAACTGGCATTGGTGATCAAATAAGGCTTAGGTTCTTAATGGCTCATTGTAATGGAAATTAACATAGAGATGTAGGTAATTTGGTTATGACAGGACTCCTTTCGGGTATCAAAAGCGAATGTAAGGAATATTTGTGCCTGATCGATCAATATTCGTACGTGCAAAAAGAACTAATAAGACCATAGCATGAGTATATAGAGAGGAAGGAGGATGATCGTAGTTATCTTTGTCACTCTGTCAAGTCATGTTCTCACTCGCGTGAATGATACTCTGAACTGTTTCATTTTCACACAAACACTTTAATCAAATTTTAATTGATTTCTTTGTTTGTCTCTGAGGATCGACCCTGCTTACTACTTGGTACAAGTTTCGATTAGTTTAATTAATTCTTTGATGGTCTTGATAACCTAACAAAAAGTGTCGCTGTTGCTGGGGACGCGTTAAAAATCTCTAAAGTCTGATTTTTGTGTTTTTCCTTTACTGATTTGTTACTTCCTGTTTTAATCATATTTTCAAAACCTTTTTCAAGGACCTTTTCCTGTTACTTTTAAGTTTGATTTATGGTGTATTACTTGGAGCAATCCCTCAGGATAGCTAATTTTTTACCCAGAAATCGAAGCAACGACAAGGAAAACTAGAGCCTTACGAAACAGAGAAGCTGCAGCTGAAGTTCCAGAATCAAATCCATAACCTATGGTGAATGCAACAAGAGTAAATCAAGATGGAGTTAGAGAGGGTGTAATATAGCCAGCTCAACCCAGAATTCTACAGGAATACTTTGTTCCACATGAAGAGGTGGAAACAACCCTGGTGTACAATGATGTGAAAGCTGAAAATTTCGAACTAAACACAGATGATCCAGTGGGTCCAAGCTGTCTGCCCTTTCTCTGAACTGCCCAGTGAGGTTCGAAATGAGCACATCAAGAAATTCCTGAAATTGGGCAGCACTTTCATAATCCAAGGGTTGTCCAAAGATATGGTATACTTGAGGTTGTTTCCATTCACATTGCAGGATATTGCCCAACAACTCAATTGATTCCTAGAATGAACTCATACTAGCCTTTCTCACGAAGTTTTCCCCACATGTCAAAGCTATCATACTCAAATCTGCAATCATGACCTTTCAGTAGAATGTGACGGAAACTCTTTATGAAGCCTGCGAGAAATTCAAGGAGCTGATGAGAAAGTTCCCTCAACATAAAATAGACACGACAATTTAGTTGTGCATTTTCTCAATGGATTGCAACAATCCACTAGAGAATCACTTGATTCTTCATCTATAGAAGCATTCATGATGAAACAGTAGATGAAGCAATACAGCTGCTGGAGAACATGTCCACCAACCATTTAAGATGCAACCAGAAACAAGAGCTACTATCAAGAAAGTAGGCATTTTGGAATCAGATGCGAACACTCATCCGCAAGTACAAATGATAGCTATAACTAACGACCTTGCCAAACTTAGGGCAGACATCAACAAACCTAAGGCTGATGTTGAGATATGCTCGGGGTCACACAGCTGCTCTGTATGCCAGGTAATGGTGGAGGAAGCCCAATTTGTAAGGCAAGGAAATGAAAGAGGAGGTTTCAATAACTACAGCAACTCCAGACTTCAACAGAACAACAACTGGGGCAACCATCAACAAACAAGCTATCAAAGACCAGCCCAACCTCCTGGTTTCCAAAATCAACCATTCAGAGTCAAGGAGGAGGATTGGATGAGGTAGGAAATGTTGTTGCTAGCCTTGATGTCACTGTCAAATCTTACTATATAAGAAACAAAAACCACACTTCAAAGAGCTCCCCTTCAATTGCCACGTGGCATTTCCACCTCATTACTTGCCATTAATTGGTATTAATAAATTAATAGATTTTCCATAATACCCTCTAGAATGCATACCACGTGCTCTTCTATTTTCTTCCCTCTTTCAAATTCTCACTCCTCCATTACAATACAGAAGAGTAAATTATATTACTTCTTATTTCACAATTGATGAGATTGTTCTTCAGCCCATTTCATTTTCGATTCTTCTTCCAAAATCTTGCACATTCTCATAATCAAAATGTCGCCGTCCACCGCCAGTAAACCGCCGCTTCCACCACCACCCCGCCTTGGTCGGGCACCTCCGTCGCAAACCATTTTCTCCCGTGCCAGAGCCCAGATCGCCACTTTCCGTCTGTTCTAACATAGAATGGGAAACAAACCTTCTACAGGCATCTATTGTAACAGAATTCAATTGAATCCTACCTTAATCCATAAGTTTTCTTTGATTTCTTCAATTGAATCCCATTTTGAATTCATTTCTTTCGATTTGGTTACTTTTCCAAGTATGAGAATGGATTACTTAGTTCCGATGCTTCAGAGGCAGTCGCAAATGAGCTCGGAGTTTCTATACTTGGGCACTTTGGTGAACACTCATGGAGCCACCGACAATAGTGTTATGCAGCAACAACACCCACGTGGTAGTAGCACCAGCAACAAGAGCAGTGCTGCGAATTCGAGAAAATTTGACTTGCCGGAGCTCAGCCTTTTGCCGCCGCTTTACGGTCACAACAAGGTTAGGCGAAATTACGGTAATGGTGATGTGGGGTCCGCCACACAGCAATGTTAGGCAAAAAATAAAAAAAAACTCTTCCATTACCGGAATATTCTGGGTCATATTTTGGGCTTGGGGTCCAGTAAGGGAATACAGTCCAAATAGAAATATTTTCATCGGCTGATGTTTGACCGAAAGGAAAGTAATAATATTTTGTACAGAGCCCACTCTTTTTTTTAGAGTAGAAGTAATAGTATTTTGTATAGAGGTCAAACATTTCTGGCAATACAGTCCTACTAATTTATCCCACTTTTTACAATAGGGCTACGCACCATGATCGCACTAATTTATATGGTGGTGAGTTTTTTTTTTTTTTATCCCACTTTTGTATAGTATTTTGTATGATTTTTGTATGATTTTGTATTGGGTAGGAAGGAATGATGTTCGTTTCAAACACCTCCTGTGATTGCCACGTGACATGAAAAATGTACTAAATTGTCCTTTTGTCTAACCATAACTAAATTACTAAATCCCCCTATGTACTTTACTTGACACGTTTTTTTTTAACAAATTTTTTCTTTATGTTTCATTCAATTAGAATGGTTTTCTTTTCTTAATTATGAAGTCTAAATTGAATTGATCAATTAGGTTTTTGTTACAAAGTGTCAATTTTGTTTTAAGCGTATACCCTTCGGATGAAGCTTATTACAAATCTATTAAAAATCTCCAAAACTAAGTATTGATTTGGCATGACCAATGTAGAACATCAATAAATTATCTTACTACTATTAAAAGTTATTAAGATGCTTTTATATTTTGTCTAACATTTACTTCAACACATATATTCGATTAAGTCTATTTATATTTAATAAGCAACACTTATAAACATTTCTAAAACATACATGACGAAATACAATTTTTTTTTTGTGAAATACAAATATTTCTATGATCACACTTATAAAACATTTCTAAATCCTGCAAACATTACTATCGCTCCAAATACAAAATTTTATTTTTTTTAAATATAAATATTTCTAAGATCTACAGATAGATTGGGTCAGGGTCGCGCATTGTGCGACCAAACATCACTAGTATACGCAAAATCAGGTGGCACAAATAGCAATACTGTAAACTTCAGAAATGCTGTCCACCACCCTTTAATATTGCACTCCATCAGACTCATCCAAATATTCATGAACAACCTTAATGTTCCCAGAATTCTGAAAAACTTTCGACCCAAGCCATTAACAGATGCAAACTCAAATAATCCCATCTCCATAAATCCAGTCTTGTCCTCAAGGCTTATATCAACAATCAATAACAGCAACGCCAAATTAGCTTCCCAATTATTGCTAATTCCCTTGTTAGTATAAAGAACATCACTGTGGAATTCTCCTTCAAGGGCAAAAATATCCACTCCAAATTTGTTCTCAACTGCCCTTGATAAGTGAAAAACAAGGTTAATGTCTCTGCAGCCACCAGTGACAACCCCAACCATCACGAGTGGAAGTACACAATGACCAAATTTGGGAAAGTTAATCATCCCTTCCTTCAACCTCATCTTTACAACAAGAGTACAAGAGAGATAAAGAATAGCATTCCACAACTTGCTCTTAGTTCCTTGCAAATTTCCAGAACTTAAAGTCAATATTTGAAAACATTCCATCCACAGAATATCAACCTGAAAATCTGGCAAGAATATTTTTATTGTCAAAATCCTTGCAACCCAACCACATGACTGATCCTCCAATACTAATAAAGTAGCCAAGTCAAAACCAAGGGTCACAACTTTGCCACTTCCAGTAAGTACCCTGACTATCCTAGAGTTTAATCCATAATGACAGAGTTTGAGAATGTTGTTCGTGTCAACCTTCATCAGCAACTTTACAATGAAATTCCTTGTTCCACCTTTGAGCACAGTTACCCAATTAACCCATGGTTTATGAGGGTCGTTTATAACACACATGATGATCCTTCCCATTGCAATATCACTAAACCAAGTACTAGGAGCTGATTTAATTTCAATCCGTCAATTGATTCCAAGCTCATCATAGTTTTCATTTGATTGGTCACTTTGACTCAAGTAATGACCAAATATAACACCTCCAGGAATCTTGCCATAAGCAGTAGTACCACCTAGGAATCCAGTAGCCAATTTTGACCATGGCTTGTGGCCTTCAGCATCTTTATTAAATCTGCCTGCTAGATGGCTAATTACAGACAAAACAACACCAAACCAGATACAATCTAATCCTCTAATAGTAGGATTAACAGAACAAGAATAATTTCCACTAAAAACGTCAAACCAGACCTTATCATCATTATAATGCATAAATTCTCCAGGAATATGCAGACATTTATCAACAAGAAATGAAACATATGCTACTTTATCATGGCAACCATCGACCCCCACATTATTGCAGCCATCTAGCTCAAATTCATTACTCAAATCCTTTAAAGAAATGTCATCTTCTTGAGTATACACAATCCAATCAACAAACATTTTCTCAATATCATCATTAACCTTCTTGGAAAATCTATCATGATTACCTGTCTTAACGCAAGCCAATACATTATTAATAGACTTCAATCCGTCTAAATTGTGATGGGAAACAATTTTACCTCTTTCCTCATTTGGGGAGGATTTTTGCTGGTTGGTGACTTCAAGATTCTGTTCTCGGAGCATACTGGAATGAAGTTCTTCGAATGTTTCTTGATACTCCCTGACCGAACCCGTCTGATTGAGGTTATTGAAGTCTTCTACTGGATTTACTTTACCCATTTAAACGGAATTCTTCAGCCATAGCATTGATTCCATCATTCTGATCTGAACAGAAACCTCACCTCTCGTCGGGGTTGGAGGAACCGAATACTCAAAAATTTCAGGATCTTGTTATCTCTTGTCGGAGTTGTCGATGTAATACCCCTTTCGGAAAAAACCGCAATCAGATTATCCAACATTGAACCCGTAGAAGCCATTGAGCTCTGAATCGATTCAATTGAACACTTCATTGCCTTCAACTGACGCCCCTGATGAGCTAATCTTGACACCAAATGGGAGAGTCTTGACTTCATTTCTATCCTTGGATCTGAAACGTCGCAGGAGCGTTGTTCTTCAAGATGCATCTGGGAACTTGATTGTGTCATCGCAGAAGCTTCTCAAAGCCGAGGATTGCTCGGCTCTGATACCACTTCTCAAAGCAGACAGCACTTCCACGGAGGCGACAACTCCGAATAAATAGAACTTGTGAGTAATCATCACTTTTTTCTAAAATCATTTCAAAATTGTGAGTATGGATATATTTGAAAAGACACTACACACGAGCACATTTTAAAAATAAAAGTATTTTTGAATAATATTACTTAGCTCTAAAGGTGATCTTATATGCCTTAAGGTGTATTTGTTGAGTGACTTGTTGTCTGTCTTAATTACTTGATAAACGTGGAACTGTGTGTGGCTATAAGCCATATTTGAATTTATATGTGCATGCTTAACGGCCCGAGGCGACTAGTTGAGCAAATGTGTCATGAGCTGGCATAGGGCTTGGTCATGTCCGCTGCAAATAGTGGTTGTTCAAGATTCTCTTGAGATATCTGGTCGCGACATGGCGTGTTGGGTGGAAATTAAGTTAAATCGGTACCTAGTCAGAATGATCGCTCCTTCTGACAGCTTATCAGGTTTTGTTTTACAGCCTGAATGGAATTAATGGAATCGGCTAGGGTTAGGGTTTAACCACTCCTGCCATATCGGCTTTTGGATAAACTCTTCCTTTGGCCTTTGAATTTGCTTTTAACGATTGCTTATGTGGAATCATATGCTCTTGTCTGTTATGTGTTCCCATCACTATATTTTGGAATATTTGATTATTTCTGTTTCAAAGTACATACCTCTAATAGTGTGGACCTCACTGCGCTAGGCGCTCACCCCTTTATTTTATATAAATAGCCCTCCCATGAGCAGAGTCACGAGGAAAGTAGAGCCAGATGAATTATCGTATCTAGGAATGCTTACTATAGAATTGTTACACTAGTCTTTAATTTACAAGTTTGTAATAACGGTAGGGTTATGATTGTGTTACCTACCTTGTTTTCGCAAATAAGGGACCTGTACTATTGTACCCATTGGTAGTTGCGAACATCTAATAAAATATCTCTTTACTTTATGTTACGACCCTTTTACCTTGATAGCTTTAGCCGTTAGCCAAAGTGGTAACACCCTGACTCATCAATCTAGAATTATGTTGATAAGCATTTAAAAAAAAAAAGGACCGGTAAGCCGGGGTTATTACATATGTAATGTACGTGGATATTTGTTTCAGGTGCTAAGCATTTTGGTAATTCCTAGATGTTTTCTAATAGATCTTCAATTTTACCGTTATCTCTCCGACAATGGATGGAATATCTATCTTTTTCTTCTTTTTTTTGGTACAATAAAGGAGGCGAATGCCTTCAGTTTCTAGTTTATTACAACATGTTGGCAAGAAATATCAATAATATGATGTTGTAACCAAGGTTTTACAACAGTCGATGGTTCATCCAGCCACAAAAAACCTCCGCGGCTTGACATAGCTAAGCTTGCTAGAGAGTCCGCAGCAAAATTCCGCTCCTGATCCTTAATTTCTATTTGCATTTAATGAGATTACTAAAAGATTAAGTTGCAATTCTCCCGAGCATATTCAACCTCAATAACATTATGGCAAAAACAACAGACAGTTCCTTCCAACTTGCGCTTTCGCTAGCTGCTAAACTGTGAAGTTCTAAAAATTTACGGTTTCACGAAAATAAAAATTAAAGCTTGAAAATTGTAATTGTTGCTTCAGTTCAAATTGGGATTGATCGGTTATAATGAAATAGTAAACAACAACATCCTATACATGAAATATTATCGGAAGCGCTCTCAAACTTTCAGCTGTTTGATATATTTCTTAGGAAGCCAATAAAAACCTACAATATTAAATCTATTTTGCCTAACAACACATCAACATAAGGCTGGAGTTACCCAAATTAATTGAAATGGAGAGCCTCGGTCAGCTGGAAGTGGAAGTGCGGTAACTGACCTATCATTTATGTTAAAAACACTTATTTTGTTTCCTTAGAACAGTTACTACCGGGAAACCTATGTGTAGCATATATGCAATTCTGGTCTGTGAAATTGGGAATAATACACGCTGATGTCCAAAGATGAAAATCGATATGAGTAAAAAATATGGAATCACGGTTTTCCAACTCGAAAATTTCTACCCAGTTGAATTCTTCAACACTGTCACCTGGGTCCTTTATATCCCTCTTGATGAGTTTAAAAACTTTGAATCTCCATACAAAACCTATGTCTAGTAACAATAAGTCTCCCTAAGAAGCTTCCACTAGACAAAGGCTGTATAAATTAACGTCATCGCTTTCAGGTAAAATGACTTTGGGAACTAATTGATCATCATGACTACTACTTATGTCATCAAAAACAACAAGTAGACCATTTGTCTGCATGGCATGCAACAATCCCTTGTGAAATATGATGTCGCAAAATCATTCGGGGAAAAACGACCAACGCGGTTGGTTCGCTTTCTTCAACCCTAAACCTAGCGCGCCAAAATTACGTCCTTCATCGTTGTTAAAATAACACATTGCCCCGACCTCAAAAATATGGGGGCTTTTTGTAGGATCGCAAGATAAAGCTACTTTCATAAAACCAGGATCTCCATTATTGCAAGGGATTTTGATGTTCTTCCCAGTAAATGGATTAAAAAGCCTAAGCGAATTCCAACAAAAGCCATAGGTAGCGATTAACCAACCGCGAGAGGAGCGGAAGAGAGAGTTCTCGCATGTGAGAGGAAGTTTGAGTTCGTGATTGCGTACTTTGTTTTTGCTGACGTTGTACAGTTTCGAAACCCGGAATTCCCATGAGTCATTGCAACAGGAGTTCTTAAATTTTCCTTTCTGCTTATTGGTCTTTGCTAGAACCATAAATGGAAGCTGCGTATGCATCGTGGCCTGTCGTTTTGGTTTTTGACTTCTAGCCACCGATCGGAACAGTTTGCAAACCCTTCCGAATAGAATGTAATCCGAAGATTCGACCAATTTACTCAGAATGGTATCCAAAAGTTCTTCAGGAAGATCTGTCCAACCTACTGAAGATTGGGAAAGTCGTTTAATCGAGACAGATTTGTTGGTCATGTTGGAGCAGCAACAGAGAGATATTAGGCATACGAACTTCGACACAAAGAACTTGATGAAGGCTATATATATTAACATTTGATCTATGTCCTAAAACAAACAATGCAAAGTCTTATATTTAGTTTCATGATCATCGACCCTTTTTTTATTATCATACAGAATCACATTGTAGGAACAAGATTTTAATTATAGTTTGTTTACGTTGAATATTAGAACCAAAAAGAAATTGGATTTGTCAATTTCCTGTTGTGTTTTTTTTAAAAGAATAAATACATCAGTAATAAACTTAAGTATTCAGTGTAGAGAATTTACATCCCAAAAACATATTTAATGGTGGCTTTCGACCATGGTCCGGCTAGAGCTACTAATTTTTTGTAGAGGTGAATTTGATTATACCAAAAATAATTAATTGTCTAATTTGGAGTTTCACTTTCAAAACAGTTTGAACTAAAAACATTAAAAGCGATAGTGATTTCATACCCCTGTATGATAAACCAAAAGCAAGGTAGAAAATAAGTGTGAAGGCACAAGGCAGCTTTGATGGGAAGGAAATGGCCTGCAGTACAACAAATAAGTGATTTCAGGATGCAGCAAAGCGTCCTAATAAGCCACTTTTCGGGACGTTTAGTGTTTTGGGACGATTTTAAATGACTTAACATTATTTATCCGAACAAAACACCTAAATGTGTCCCCTTAATGTCTACTTTTATGACGATGGAAAACGTCTCTATAAGGTGCTCTAATGAGAGGCTTTTAAACGCCCCAATAAGTAGTCTAATGGGATGCTTTCTTGTGTCCCCATAAATGCGTACATAATTAAAAAAAAAAATTATACAAAAAATTTAATTTATTTTTTACTAATTCGCATTTCAACAACAAACAGTAAGAATGACCACAACTGTGAAAATACCTTTGAAACATTTTAGGTTACAAAGCAAAAAACTATACATAGAATGTACAAGTTCAATATTATTCCAGAATATTCAAGATCCCCTAATGTACAAATAAAAATACTCTAATCCAACTACAAATGCCACAGATGCATGAGCTTGTGAACTCCATACTTTAGCAGTTTGTTGAAAATGAGCTGCCAACACGAATCCACATCTAAAGGTTTACAAATTACAACAGTCAATAAGACCTCAAAACTAAAAGGAAAAAATAAACGTATCCATAAAGATTTTTAACTGAGTCACAAAGTCATCGAAACTGAAGGAAACAAAGGCATTTAAGTAAAATAATGTCAATTGAGAGCAATCAATCGTATGTCCTTATTATTTCTATCCCCCTTTCCACTAGTATACTAACTTTAGTTTGGCCAGTCCGATCTTAAAACTTCGGTAATTATTGAACCTGTTAAGCATAAATACAAAATATATGTATGCTAAAACTCATTTATATGTAAGGCTTATTTTGGGGCAGACCCATCGTAACTAGAATAATACAACATTGGAGCAACAGAAAATTGAGTTAATGATGCCCATACAACAACTTTGAGGTATTACTGCATTACCATGGCATTCTCCCCTATTCATGAGATCTTAAAACTAGGTAAAGATTCACAAGCCAACATTATTTCAGTTTGGGTTTAACTTTCAGTAACGAGTGGAAGAATAAGAGTCTAAATTCCTAATTAACACAATGTAGAAAACTATCAAACCGATGTTTCAGGCTGATTTTAGAAAATAAACTGTACAAGTTAATTTAAACGTACTAGCCACTGATACTTATACCATTAGAAACAGCTGTTAGTCTAGTCCGTGGCCATATAGATCGGTGACTCGGTGGCCATATGGACTGTAGGAAAAGAAAGAAAAGAAACGGAGAAAATGGTTGTCATGTTTAAAGCGCTTGATTGGGTGCTTATTTCGGGCAGACAACAAGGAAATCAGATCTCATTTGGC